GGCCTTTGGCCCAATCATTTATATCTATCGGCCTTTGGCCCATTTTGACATGTATTGTTTTGAAAGGACTTCGGCTATTATTCATGCAAACCCCTTTATTATTTATATCATTCACTGAGTGTCTAAGCTCACCCTCTCTATATATATGTAGGTGATGAGCAAGAAGGCGGTGACGCCTAGATGTGATTCGCGAGCTTGTTTTGGATTTTTGTCATGCCGGCTTGACTTGTAATTATGTCGGCAACGAGGATGTCGGCAATCTGGCAGACTATGTCCCTTGACCTGTAGTTTGTGCATTTTGTTTATGTCGGCTTGTGAAGCCCTTTGTTAAAATGTAATATGTATTTTGGACCTTGTTTTAATTGTATTCAAGTTGTAAAGCTGTGTGAAGATGTATGCCATTCCATTTGACTTATGCACTGCTCTTATGGACCACTTATATCTTAGATTATTGCTTCCGCACTTGTGAGCCCCATATATCTATACTCTGATTGTGTGTGAATTTTGAAAGTTGGCCTTCAGTAATCTCGGATTACTGGCCATCACGGCACCAAACTACTAGGGGCGGTTTGGGGTCGTGACAGAATGGTATCAGAGCACAAGTTCCTTATAGTACGTTATTCACACACTTTGAGTCCTAAAGAGCATAGGATTTCCCCTTAGAAGGATGATAGGATTGCATCATATTGCTTGCTATATGGACAAGGTGTGCACCATCTCGGCATGTTTAACTATTACTTGCCTACGTGATTATTTGTTCATTTTGTTTTAAAGTCACATTTTGCATACTCATAGCATCATGAGGAGAGGTAGACCTCTAGTTGGCCGAGATCAGTCTGAGGACAGATTGGACAGACTGGAAAGGTTAGTTGAAGGTTTGGCCGGCGAGTTAAGGCAGAGAAGGCAACAGTATGCTAGTGCTACATCGACTCATGCCGAGCAGACAAACGGCCGAAATGTAGTTCCACCCCCACCTCCTCCAGTACCACAAGTGCCCCCACAGCCAGCTTTATATGGGGACGGCACGATAGCTTTGATCAGAGAGTTCAAGAAAATGAAGCCACCGAGATTCCAAGGGGGTATAGAGCCGATGAAAGCCGAAGCGTGGGTTTTGGAAATGGAAAAGCTGTTCGAGATCTTTCCCAACACCGACACCTAGAAGGTGACATTAGCAGCTTTTACACTAGATGACGACGCCCGCAGATGGTGGATGATGGTTCAAGAAGGCAATCCAGACTTGACCTGGACCCGATTTTTGGAGTTGTTTTACACTAAGCATTTTCCCTTAAGTGTTTGAAATCGTAAGGCTACCGAATTTCAAACTTTGACGCAAGGCAGTAGAACAGTAGCTGAATATGACCGTGCCTTTACCTAGTTGGCGAGATATGCACCCCACATGGTCAATGATGAATATATGAAGGCTAGAAAGTTTGAAAGTGGGCTGCGTGGACCGATACAAGACCGAGTTAACATGCTCAACATGCCAACTTACGCCGGAGTA